GTAATGAAAAATGGGGAGTTCCATTTAAAAAATTCAAAGTGACCTTGCCCTGACCTTGACAACGCCACCCAAAATCAAACCAATGGCACCATTTTATGTCCCCCTCAAAGTCCTAAAACTTTTGTCTGAAACATTTTTCCTTAAAATGCACTGTTCAAGAGATATTTGAGGTGATAGATTAAAATGGGACACCCTGTATAAATATACTTCTTCTATGAAATAATGAAGCAGCCTCGTGTCCCTTCACCTGTTACATATCTATTGCATATTGAAAGAATATTTTTACATATCCTTATACGTATGTTATCTGAAGATTACATTTCTGCGAGAAATTGAGCTTTTCTAAGCACTGATATGCTATAAATTCATTATGTAGGTATATACATGACGTTGTATGCAAGGCCTGGCACTACGAACCTATCTCACGTATTTGTACGAATTTGCAGACAATCTACTCAAAGTAGATCACGGTGTTCTTTGGCACGTAGTTGCACCATCTTATCTTATCTACTCGATTTTTCCCAGCACAGCGCGTATAAATCTTCCAGTGAGAGGAGTTTCATTCAAAGGACCGCTTTATCCCAGCCTTAAGGTGCCGACGAACCCTAAACTCGATGTATAAACCCGCAAGCACCGAGAACGTATTTTACGCGCGGAACGTGACCGTGAATTCACGAGCGGTCGCATGTTTGCGGAAGTTAACTTGCGCGAGATACATACACGGAATAAAAAGAAACCCGTAATTGCATCGTATTGCGCACGTAGAGGTTTCCTTGTGCTTTGATGGGCAATTTTAAGAGTCACGTGTTGCGATTCCATATGATAATAATAATATAACAGTAAACTACTATGAATCATCAAGGAAAATGGAAAACTATATAACGTTTTATGGGATTGTTATGTACATAAAAATATAGGATGTTTCAGACACGAATTATTTAAAAAAGAGACGTATATACCGAAGGAATAGATTTTTAGTAGAACATATTAAATTAAAGAAAATTAGCTCTGAATGCAATTTTTATCTCTTCTTAGATAATCAATTTTATATTGAAACATTAATAACATCATTGAAACGTATTTTATTTCAACGGACATTGATTAAGAATTTGATTGAGGCTATATTTTCAGTAATCTGGTACAATGCTCAACACGGGAAGTATTTCACCGCGAGAAAAAAAGGACTGGTGGAGACATTCTCTAGCAGCTGATGCATTATCCACGACAGATAGCGTCATGGCAAACGTCGATACCTTTTCACGAACTAAGTCGCGTATTTTCTCTTTTCTTCTTTTGCCAGCTCTCACCATCTCTTCTTTCACTTTTTTCCTATTCCGGTTGGAGGAGAGAAAAAGAAGTCGGTATTTTTCGAGTGTGCCAATTTAATTGATGCCAATTTTCATCCAAAACATCGTACAGTTTCAAAGTTTCAAGATCGCAATAAAGATAATTTTGATACAAATAATACAAATTTTGATACAAATAATACAAATTTTGATATAACTAGAAATAAAGAGCAGACTTTCAAAATGCATTTTGTCCAAAATATCATTTTTTTAGTTAGAGATGCCTAGTACTCAATAATAAAAGACACATATTATAAACTACTTTGGAATGTTCAAAAAGCATTTTTTCAGCAAATTTATATATCGAAAAAATCTAGACACTTGATGCGTGTTATGTACTTTAATTAGAGACAAATAGAATGTATTTGTTTAATATTATTATTAAAAATTGTTTAGCAATTTTGTTCAACATTTTACATCTTACTGATTGGCAAATTGTTATTTTCTGTAAGACGAATGATTGCCTTGTGGTTTTTTTCTCGTTTTCTGATTAAAAATTATAAATTTTTGATAAAACACATTTTGAAGTCCGCTCTTCAAATATCGAAAATCTTAAACATAATTAAACTTAACTTCATAACTAAAATTTAATTGTCGTCGTGCGCGCGCGCTTCTTGTTAATTAAAAAATTGATCTTAAAATAAATTATCTTGAAGAAATAATATTTAATTCACGCTAAAGTTTATTTTAACATTTTAAAGGCTGCGTTGATTGAAAAAGGGAAGAAATAATTAATAATAGATATAATTCATATTAAAATCAATTTATAAATAATAAAATATTCAATCATATTGAAATTAATTTCCAAGCAAACTTTGGATATAACAAACTAAACATGAAACAGTTTCACAGATTAGTTAAACTTTGTTTTGTACAGTAAACGCTACGTAAGCATAAATTTACGTAGAACAAGGGTTAGCAGTCTAAACATGAAAATGATTCCATAGATATTGCTAAAATTAAAATTAATAGAGATATTGTTCTATAACGTTATTATTTTTAAATACACTTTTTATCAAAAAAAGATATAATTTCAGAGTAAATATAATACGTAATTGCTTTGTCTGTAAGTTGTTAAAAAATAAGTACAATTTTGTGTAAATCCTTGAGATGAATAGAAAAATATTGCGTATATACAAACTGAAATTGAAGACACGCTCGTAAGAAGGATCGAGTCGTCAAAGCTCAAGAAATTGAGTGGAATGCTGTCATGAATTAACCATTTCACGTATATGTTATATATATGTAGCGAAATGGTTTAACATCAAGATAGCTTCTTTTGAAGAAATACGGAACCTGAGAGATGTTATGTTCTATCAAGCCAGACTGGCAACCTTTGATAAAGTGTAAAAAATGGGTCAAAACCGTCAATGCATACTATATTGACTATATGTGTATTATGGTGTACATGAGGTTTTTATTGGACATATGTCCGCAAACACGGAAAAAATTTTATAAAAATTGTAGCAGAACAGCGTTAAAATCGCTCGTGTCGAACATGTATATTGGACATACATCTAAGATAAACTCTCGTTCGTGCGATCGAATCAAATTTTGGAACGTAAAGTCTCGTGGAATACGATAGAAAAATACGACATCTCAAGAACGCCGAGTAATATCTGCGCGTTGGATTTTTCAGATCCTTCGCCTGTCGCCCTTTTAATGCAGCCGTCAATCTCCCGCGTCCTCATCCTGACCAGAATTCCAACCTGTGCGAGGTCTTCCCACCGAATATCATGCGTCAAAAGCCACTTTTAACGTAAAAAAAAACCGAAGACAGAGAATGCGGAGAACGCAGAATGCGCACAATACTGAAATTCATTCTATGTTTTGCTTTACTTATTATTTTTATCGTGCACGATATATATCTCCCAACTTGTCTTCGAAAACACCACAAATTAAAAAATAATTTTTTAAATGTGTGTATTGTAATTTCGATTCAGTTTAAATTTTATCCGTTAAAATGCAATATGCAAAATTGCAAAAATAATCATAGTGCTTTTGTAAATCGAAATTCAGGCATTTTGTGCTACACATTAATCATGTTTGAGATTTTTTAATTTTTTTTTTAGTTCAAAGGAGATACAATGCATTGAAACCATTTTTAAATAAATAACATAGCTTATGGAATATTTATACAAACTGCTATTAAGCATACCTTTCTGTTTATAAATATAACTGACGAATGCTCATCCGTGCGCTGGTCTTTTCTAGCAAAATCTGATTATACATCTTGTTTCGCAAATTTTTCATTACCAACATGAAATATTCTAACAATAAAGTCTCAACTCTCTGTGAATTTACATTCCGTTTTCGATATTTACAACTATTCCAGCTCTGTGAAACATACTTATTATACACGGATATATGTGTTGACCGATTTTTATAATAATGTTAGGACAAAATAGGGCGAATTGTAAATAGACAGTTTTATGCGGAAATGAGAGGCCGGCTCACAAAAGTAGAAAATATCAATTACACATACATGTAAATCGGCAAGCTGAACCCCTATATTAAAAGGGTGATTGAAATAACATTCAAAATTGCATGCCATTCAGAGACGAAAATGGCAATTCAGTTTCAACAAACAGATCATTTAGCTCAACATAAAAACCAATCAAGCTTCGCGTTCATGCCCATTTATTAGACTATTATTTCGATATATTTTTAACTTGACAAATGTTTGCATTAAAAAAAATTTTTACAGCTACGTGTTTGTTATTTGGTGTATTGCATTAAAATATCTTGGAAAACTCAAAAACGATATTTATTTCAATTTTAAAACGCTTATTCGGTTAAAATGGATCTTGTTGTCTAATAATATTTTTTTTATAAATTTCACAATTTCCAGTTCAAACAATCGACGCGCAATTTGTCCAAGACCCACTTTGACAGATTAGGCATTTTTATTTGTGTTTTATAAGAAAATATTTAATATTTTGAAGCGAAACGCATATTCTTCGTATTTTGAAAGAATATAATAACCGCGCCACGCAGTATGTCTTTCAATTTAACTTTTCAACTTAATTCATTCGAAAATATTATTCGGTGAGTTAATTCATTTTCTGTGTAAGATTCATCCTCTGCGTAATATTTTATGAGCTAAAGCATGTATATATCGTTCGGCGTTGATAACGTCACCGTCTTGTCGCCCATTTATTTCTATTTATCAAGCCGATTTAATTATGAATTCACTAGAGCCCGTTTATTTAAACGGAGACGCGTGTGCGAATAAACGCACGTGTATAGCACCGATGTCG